AACCACATCAATGAAAACAAAACAAAGGGACACTTAAAGCAGGGGTGTAACTGTGCTCCATGAGATGGGGTGCAGGAGATGACAGGAACAAAGTTGAACAGTTAGGGGCAAACCCCAAATCTAGGAACTGGAGTGCTGGCTGAGGGCCCACAGTGACCCCATCCCCAGTGCAAAGGCAGACACTTTGTGGCCCTTCCAACTCTTGGGGGTGACTCCCTGCTTGGTTTTTCTTGGGCTGGGTTATCAGTGAAGAGTCCCCCTTTCCTAATAGGCTCTTCCCACACTCCCACCCGATGGCTTCCCCGACTAGAATAGAGGCCAGACTACTCAATGCTCTGCGTAGAGCACTGGACGGTGGAGCCATGGGACCAAAGCCCCAAACAGGCGAGTGAGGAATCCAGGGTGGAGTCCTGAGGCACTCTTGCCCAATCTTTCAGTGAAGGAGGGAGATACTCACCTGCTCACGTGGCTGGGACTTGCTCTCCAGGCTCTGTAATCGCCTCTGGACATTCCTCATGCTTTCCTGCAAGGCCCGTACTGTCCCCACCAGCCATTTGTCCAGTTCCTGGGGCCCCATCAGGCTACCTTCCAACCCCTCTGTGGAGCATAGAGACACAGGGGCAGGGGATGCAGGAGACAATTTACACAAGCCGGGGCAGGTCCAGAGAAGTCTAAGAGCGTGCTGTCCCTGTCCCCCAGTGTGGCCTTTACAGTGTCCATTCCCAGGACAGAGTAATGGGCTGTTGGCATGGGGTTGACCTAGCACTGCCACCGATGAGCTGTGTGACTCCTGGAAATTAGGGGACGATGTCCTCTTCCTCACACACCTGGTGTGCTCAGGGGAATAAACATCAATTTATGAAAGTGTCCCTTTTCCAGTTCAGCACACAGGACATTCTAGACCAGGACAAGGCAGACAGAACTCACAGTCTGAGAATTCCAAATGGGAGGGAGGGAGAGGACAACTTCCGGCCGCCATGCACCTGTGTCTGTAAGCTGCCTTTGCGGAGGATGCGCAGAGGCCAGCAACCTCAGAAAACGCCAGGACAGGGACTGTCCTTAGGCTGGTATCTGGCTGTTGGGGAGCCTTCCCAGACTGCTCTACTGGACTTTCACCTTTGTCCTAAGAGATTAACGCAGGGAAAGCTTGGGGTACCAGGACCATGGGCAGGATAGAGAGCTCACCTTTTTCACTGGGGGACTCAGGGTTGCCTCTGGTGTCCAGCTCTCGGCCAGCTGCTTCCCTCTGCTCTTCACAGACCTGCTGAGCGGAGTCGCAGGTCCCAGGGTGGAGGTGGGGCAGCTCTGACCCAGCGGGAACAGGGGAGAAGAGGGACGGTCTCACCAACTCTGGCTCCAGCTGCTCCAGAGAATCACAGAAAACCTCCAGGTCCAAGTCCCTGGGTGGCTGGGGCTCTGGAGAGGGCAAAGGAAAGGCTTGTGAAGGGGAGCTGCACTGGGATTGTGGTTCCTACTCTGGAGGGAGGGAAGAGTGGGCAGCTGAGTAGTAGGTCCTTCCTCAGGGGACCTCGAGTTCTTGCCATAGCAGGTACGATGGGCCCAAGACACAAGACCCTGAAAACAGCCTCAGAGCCTTCCCCTGGCCTCTGAAAGTACAGTAAGTCTTAGTGTCCCTGGACATGCTGATATAAAGGGGACAGTATGGCACCAAGCGTCTCCTCTCCTGAAGGTGTTCCTTCCCAGTCTAGGTGTGGCTGTGTATCTCTCCTGCCCAACCACTAACCTGGACTTGGAGGTACTGGCTCCTTGGGGAGGCAAGAAGGCTCTGGAGCAGTCTGATCCCCTCTGTGCAGCCCTGGCTCTTTCCAACCTGTCGAGACACGGCCCACGAAGCGGGGGCAGGGAAGAGGCTGGCATCTTCCAAGTGAGATCAAGTCCCTTGTCCCCATTAGTCATGCATACGAGCTGATAACTAGCCCAATGGGGCACTGATTGAGGTCCTTACAGATAGCACACCTGGGGCCCTTTGCTCCTACTGCCTGCCCCACACAGCAGCCACCCACCAGCCCACACCTGAGGCAGTTCGCTCTGTATTTTCAGGGCTCCCATCCTGGAGATCTGACCTGTGACCCTTCTTAGGAAGGTGTCTGGGGGCCTCGGCATGTCAGGGATCACCTGGTACAGGGGCTCAAAATAACCAAACATATCTTCTGCCACTTCGCCCAGGGGCACTGTGTCGATCACCTGTGCAGGAAGGGTTCTAATGGGACAGGCTGGCTCCTCCCACTCCCACCCCAATTCCCTCCGGGTGGAGCCTCTCCCCTTACTACGTTCTTCCCATGTACCTCCACCTGGCATCAGTCAGGATCAGACAGGATTGGGAGAGAGGGCAACAGAAAGGTGATTTCCCAAAGGATATCAACGGATAGGAAACATGGAAGCGCACCCCTGGAAGAGCGAGGGGCAAGCCACCCTTAGGGACTGAGCGCCACAGCCCTAACTACCTTCTGTGCCACCAGCTTCATCTCAGAGATGTAGGCAGACATGGCTTCCCCCCTGCTCATCTTGCCCAGGCTGTTCCAGGCATCCCTAGGAGGCAGAGGGCTGTGAGAAGCTGGATGACAGCTGAGGCATTTGTACCCTGCCAGAGGGAAGCTCACCACTTATAACGTCCAATGGGGTCCCAGAACCCAGGCCGGGGGACCAGGCAGGGCCCCATGGTAGCCTGCTTGTAGTAGCTGTAGAATCGCAGCATCTCTTCATAGGAGGGGCGGTAAGAGCCTGAGCAGAGGGTTGGGAAACAGAGGGCACCTCATCAGCCCCAGTTTCAAGAGAATGAAGAGGGCACCTTGGGAGGGCAGAGGTTGCTATGAATCCCACCCCTGGCATCTAAAACAGGAAGCAGAGAGGAACCCCACCACAGTCTAGGGAGGAACTTGGCTGTAAACATTGCAGGGTTCAGGCCCAGTTCCAATTGGTGGTCGGAGCCTAAGCAACCATCCTGAACCCCAAAATGCCGATCCCTACAGCCTCACCATTCTTAGGTAGGTTCTGAATGACGCTGACGGCTGCCTGGAACTGTTTCTGGCAGTCGGGCTCTTCCTTCTCAGTGCCCATGCTGCTCCAAGCTCTGGAGCCCTACTTTGGAGCAACTCTGCAAGAGCGAGCGTCAGTGTCACCAGGCCTCGTGGTCCACGGTGGCACTGTAAACAACCGGTCTAGTTCCCAGAGAGGCAAACAAAAGTCCCAAGACCCGAGTGCTACCCCAGGAGGCCAGAAGTTGAGCTGAGGGTCCTTCTCCTACCTCAAGGCAGCGCCAATGGGGCCAGAGTAGCGATGACCACCAGTGTGGCCATGGGTGGGAGGAGAGGCAGGTGGCAAGGGTCTCAGAGTCATGTACGTCCCCAGATGCACCTCTCTAGATTGCCCATTTCCAATTCCTGAACGGGCGAATCAGCGAGCGAGGAGGAGTCGGGAGGAGGGTGGGTACGAACAGCCAGTCCGGCTCCCCGCGCCCCGGCCCCTCACTCACCCTTAGGCGCCCACGGCCGGGACACCGGGGTCTTCTTCTCACCACTAGCCAGTGGTTTCCGATTGACCTCTGGGTCTAGGGGGGCAGGAATAGGACGGGATGCAAAGCGAGAAGAAAATTAAGCCAATGAGAGGCACCGTTTCACATTCGGCTTTTATACCTTACCCAGTCAGAAAGGCTCTTTCAAGAGTATGCAAATAGTTTCACCCTGTCTCTTCCATTCAGGCGGGGCTGAGTTCTGAGTCGCTCTCCGCACCTCCCGACAGCCAGAAGCGGGCTGCAGCGCCTCCCGGTGGACACACTGAATGGTCGCGGCGTCCTCGCGCCCCCTGGTGGACACTCACGGGAGTTGGTCGGCTGATGCCAGCCCCGCCTCTCCGAGACACCGCCACCCAGCTCTTGGAACACGTCTACGTTGGCAATAGAAGCGAGTCCTGGAGCCCGGCGTTCCGCAGAAGGGACGCTGGAGCTGAGTTCTGGAAAAAGTCAGAGTGAACCAGAAAAATAACGAAAAAGAACATTCCTGAAAGGAATCAGAGATCAAAAGCCGAGGCGAAGGTTCGACAATTAGTAAGAAAATTCAAGATCGCAGAAAGGGTGGGGACTCAAGCAATCACACAAAATTGCTGGGACTTGGATATATGGAGACTGAAAAGAGCAGGGCAAGTAGATAGCGAATCTAGGACCCGGGGAACGCAACTTTTAGCGTGGGACGCCTGGCTGTCGGCCGCTGCCAAGTGCCAGCTCTCTGTCCCTACCCAAAACTTGTGCTTGAGAGCCACCTGGACAGCCCACCCTTCGCACTCACAAGTGTACACCTAACACTACGTCGGCTCCCATAAAAGGAGGTTTTCCATGGGCTGACGTCACCAACACTTTCTCCGAGTGCAGACCCCTTGACCAAGGATGGAGTGTCGCTATGGCGTACCAAGCCTCTTAAGCTTTGAACCCCAGAACCAGATTTTGGGACTCTAAGCTTAGTCGCAGATCAGTCTTCAGACCAGTTAGCTTCGAGACGTCAACCACTAAGGGGTGGCTACTGGCTCGGAGCTGGGAGGTTAATACATGACGTCACTGCCTCAGCCTCCCGCCCCCATCCCTGCGCACCTCTGTTCTGGGGTTCGATGGGCATCTCCCGCCCCAAAGACCCTTTAGCCCAGCACGAGCCTCTATAGACCTGTCCCCTATCTGGCTCCCCGAAGGGACCCAGCAAAAGTGGATGAAGCAGGGTCAGAGTCCCCAGAAAAAAGTGTCTGTGCGGGAGGACAATCCTCTCCTGGGGTATTCAATCCCCTCTAACAGGGACTCTGGCCACTGGTGTGGAGGAGATCCGGGAGATCTCTGGGGAAATGGAAAGACGGACTCACTAGCAGAGGCGAACGCGTAGACACGGGGACGAACAGCTCCGGGCCCGGGGGTCCCGCAGGCGCCTCGCACCGCCCACTCCCAGCCTCGCTCCGCCCACCTCCACCTCGTCCCTCCCTTTCTCCCTCCTCCCGAGGTCTCCTCCTCCCGACTCTCACGGCGCCGCTAAGTTTCTTCGCTCGGGACCGCGCACTGGGCGCGGGCTGGGCTCAAGCTGTGTGCCGGTTGACCCGTCCTCGCTCACGGATCCCGGGCCAGCCCCGGGCCCTCCAAGACCATGCTGTGCAGCAGCTGGAGAAGATGCCGTCGCTCTCCCGAGGAGCCCAGGGTGTCCGCCCAGGTCTCAGCTCCCCTCGCGCTCCCGCCCTCGCCCGCGTCACCGGACAGCGGCACCAAGAGGCCTGGGCTCCGGGCACTGAAGAAGATGGGTCAGTGACACGCAAGGATGGGTCTGGGTGGGCACGAACTGTCTCTAGGGACAGCCTGAAAGGAGCGGGTGTACAGGCCAACGGGCTCCCGAGGGTGCGTGGCGCTGGGGAGGATCTGACCAAGAGCATCAATATTGTTCCAGACGGGGGTCACACCTGGGGGTCACCAGATTCCCAGGCTGTGCCTGAAGGCTTGGATGTTCATTCTCACCAGGAGGCTCCCGCCGGGCCGTGCTGGAGTGAATTTGGGCTAGGGGCATCGATCGATAGAGTCACAGGAACAGGAGAAAGGAGGGAGAGATAAAAGCTTGAAGTTAGGTTGGGGTTGTAGCTCAGATCGTTGGAGTACTTTGCTTAGCTGTAGGTTCGATCCCCAGTGTCACATTCCTAGCATCTCATCAACTTGCTGTTGGTAAACTCCCAGCATTGGAGAGATGGAAGTAAATGGATTAGCAGTTCAAGGTCATCTTCCAGCAAGGTAGTTAATACATATATCCCAACTTGGGCTATGCGAGCACTGTCTCAAAAAATTCATTAAAAATTTGGGGTGTGCTCACCTCCCTCCCTAGTGGGCATTTCCTAGCACCTGCTGCTCTTGGCCCCAAGGAACTGTTTACAAAAGGCCTCTGGAAGACTCTAGACTCCCAAAAGCCAGCCCTGTAACCCTCAGGACTTCTCTGTCAAGAGGAGCCGCAAAGTCCTGGCATGACTGGGGGAATGGTCTGAGAAAGCCCAGGTTCCTGCTCCAGAAGTGAGTGAAGTCACTGGTTCTCAGGAAGCCCTGGAGTCAGCCCAGAGCTGTGGTGGTTTGTAGGTGTGTCGCTCACCTTCCTGAGGTAGGTGGCCTAGTCCCCATTCACAGAGGAGGAAACTGACTCAGACGCCAAAGGATTCTGTCTAGGTAACTCAGACTGTACCATCACAACTGACGTGCTCAGAGTCTGGGCAAAATGGGACCCACGGGGCTTGAACAAGGGACAGAAGTGAAAGCCTTTTATAAACTGTAAAGTGCTGAAACCAAAGTGCTTTGTTGGGACTGCCAACCTCAACCCAGAATTCAGGATTCCCAAATGCCAGCCTTGGCTTCCCTCCCCAACTGCCCCCTCTTCTTCCTCATTCCACCTGAATGTATTGGATGCCGCTCTGTGCCTAAGGCAGATATTTTTGTCCCGCCCTCCACGCAGTCATTGAAGAGATCAATATTTATCGTCCCAACAACAGACAAAATAGACACAGCCCTGCCCTCAGAGAGCTAAACAACAAAGTAAAGGGGTCAGAAGATGGGCCTTGAGGAAGGGGGGAAGCAGAGGGGAAACACTGGACCCCAGAACTTAAAGGATGCTTGTGTAGGTAGGAGAGAGTCAGAAGGACCCCTGGGTGATAGGCTTTGTTCGCATGGCAGTAAGGGTCCCAGAAAGGCCCCTGGCAGGAAATGTAACTGAGTCAAAGGAATGGCTGGACGGACAGTGAGGTGATCAAGATGGGGGTGAAAGGAAGACTGGCTGAAAGGAGGCAGAGAAGTAGCTTGGGAAGAGGTGTTGGGGCTCGGACAGGAGAGGAGTGGGGAGGAGGATCCAGAGCCACCAAGAGGAGACGGGGATGGCTCCCTACTATGAAATCAGGAGTCTCTGGGAAGAGGCGGCACTATTCTGTGGCCTCATGGTTTGTGGAGAGGAGTTGGCCGTGTGAGGCAACCTGCCGCTGAGGCAGGACAGGGCTCTCAGGAGAAGCAGCCCGAGCCAATGGCCCCTAGGAGATATGGATGTTGCAGAAGACAGAGACAAATTTCTCACACACCAGCTGTCTTTTCCTCCTGTGCCCATTTGCTGAACCCCATCAGTGGCCACGGCGCTAGGCCAGGGGCTAAGGCCGCAAAGAAGGGTGACAGAGGCTTGCCCTAGAGGTACGAGAAGGAGATTCGTAGGCACATAATTACAGGAGAGCCCAGTTTGGCACGAGTCAGCTGAGCATGGCTCTGGGTAGTTCATCGTGGAACTATGTACATATCAGAACGTCTTCTGTGCCCTTCCTACCACTGGCCGGTTCTGTCCTGTTGAGTGATTGCTGAGTGACTGTGAGAAAGGAATTCCAGTGTGTAGGGAATGCCACCTCCCCCAAGCAATGCTGATCTCCATGCTGAGCCCTTGGATAAGGCAGCAACAAACTCAGTGGGCCTATGGCCCGGCCCCATGACCCCCAAATGGCTAAAGCCCAGGCCTGTCACCAAGGTACCTTCCATCCCCATCTGCCCCTCCCAAGCTGACCCTCATCATCCCCTATCAGGCTAAGAGAAAACAGATCTTATTTCAGGTCAAGGAACTGGAACAGGGAGTATCTCAAAGGGGCCCACGGGAGGAAAAGGCCTGTGAAGCCACAGTTGGGGGAATGAGGCCAAGGGCAGGGGAGGAGAGTGATTGAGTGGGGGCCATTTGCAGTGCTGGGCTGCGCCTGAACATTACTGCCCACTGAGCTTGCCTCAGACTTCATTCTGCTTATTTCTGTCACTCCTGGATCATGTGACCTCCTTAGTGACGGAGAGACAGGAGATGGCAGGGTAAAAACCCCACCAGGCAGCCATTAAGAAACCCTGGCTGTGTGCCACCCACAGTCAAGGTTCCTAGGACACACTTTATTAGCATAGTTAATGGGCGCTGACAACTTCATACCATTGTGCTGCGTGTACCATCTCAGTAAGCGCTCACAGTCATGTGAGAGAGGCGGTACCCTGAGCCTCAGTTTACCAGGAAGTAACAGGCCCAGAGAGGGATCAGGGCTAGAAGGTCCCCAGCTGTGGTGACCCATGCCCGGAATCCCAGCTCTGAAGAGATGGAGAGGGCAGCCTGGTATACGCATCCAGTTCCAGACCAGACAAGGCTGTGCATTGAGGCTTTGTCTCAAAAAACAAAAGCTAAAAGTGTCGGAGAGATTCAGATCCATGCAGTATGATCCAGAGTCTAGGCTCTAAACACAGAGATGAAAGATCTGAGAGGGGCTGCTGTTCCTCAGAGACGGCCTCCCAGGGCTGCCAATGAAATACAAGGTGCTAGATTGGTTTGATTTGGTTTTAGGTATTTTTTTTTTTTAGGTATTTTTGTTTGTTTGTTTTTGTTTTTCGAGACAGGGTTTCTCTGTAGCTTTGGAGCCTGTCCTGGTATTAGCTCTTGTAGACCATGCTGGCCTTGAATTCACAGAGATCCACCTGCCGAGTGCTGGGATTAAAGGCCTCCCTCCATTGCCTTTTTTTGTTTTTGTCTTTGTTTTGTTTTGAGATGGGGTTTCTCTGTATAGTCTTGGCTGTCCTGGAGCTTGCTCTGTAGACCAAGCTGGTCTCGAAGTCTCGAACTCACAGAGATCCTCCTGCCTCTGTCTCCCTAGTGCTGGGAGTAGAGGTGTGTGCTGCCAGTGCTCGGCAGGATGCTTAATTTGAATGTTGGGTGGACAAAGAATAATTTCAGACATGCGTATGTATCTCCCACCTCTAGAACGTGTGTGTAGGTTGTAAATCCGTGGCTATCTGTAATTGTTTTTGGTCTGGTACTGAGGATGGAACCCAGGGTCTTGAGCATGCTGGATAGGCACTGACCAGCATCCCCAGCCCCATGGGACACGCTTACACTAACACAGTGTCTGCTGTTAACTTAAATTCACGTGTAAAGGATCCCCTCCATTTTTGTGTTGTTTTGTTTTGTTTTCCCCCAGCAATGGCTTTCTCTGCAGCCTGTCTGTGCCTGTGAGTTCAGGCTCCGCCCAGACCCCTAATCCTCTCAGTGAACCGAGGGCTGAGTAGGCACAACCTTGCGCTCACCCTCCCTGCTTGCCTCACTCCAACAAGCTCTCCTGGGTGAGGGGCTTTCCCCATGGCCTTTCCAGGATGTTCCCTGCAGGGTGAGTTGGGCTGATCTGAAGTGGAGATGGCAGGAGGGGGACTTCAAGGGACCTTAGACCTAGCAGGAGCCTGGATTGGGTGGTGGAGAGGGCAGGGCAGCCTTGTAACCTCCCCCTTCCCCCATCATCATCCCTTGACCCTGTTCAAGCCTTGTTCTGGCCCAGCCAAGCCCAGAAGGCGCCACACCCTCAACTCCCTGGCCTACAGGCCTCTGGGGGAAGCCCTGCCTACACTTCCTGCTTTTCTTGATTTTTTCCAGGAATGCTGTAGAGAGCACTCCCTCCCTCTGGCCTCCGTGTGATACTCAGCTAGAACAAGGGGGACATGCTTGGTACCTGGGACAGTGGGGCTGTCCAAGGGCCTAGGGTAGGAAGGTCACTGGAAACATGGCTGTTGCGTTGTGTGTCTTTTCCAGCACTTCATGGACCCAGCCATTAGGAAATGCTGCTGCCTCCCACTCCCCTCACACACACTTTGGCAGGAGCAGTTGACTGCCCTGTTCCTGCATGTCTCACATTCCTGACAGAGCCCTGTGTGCTTTTCCTGACTGACAGGGCAGTAGTACACACACACACACACACACACACACACTGCTTGTTTTCTTTCCCAGGCTGACACACACACACACACACACACACTGCCACACTGCCTGTTTTCTTCCCCAGGCTGACATACACAGCCTTTTTCTTCTTCAGACTCTCTCTCTCTCTCTCTCTCACACACACACACACACACACACACACACACTGACCTTCCTCCCACCCCACCCACAGGTCTAGACGAACACACAAGCACACATCCTCCCTCATTATATTCACACCCTACTCTGCACACACCCCTCTGTTAAATGCTCAGAACCTTACAGCCATTCTTCAGCAGCCTACCCTGGCCTCTGCCCACTACCCAGCCCCTGCCTTGGGCATCCACACTGGCTTGACCATGTATAGTTAGCCTCCTCTGAGCTTCGGTAGCCCATCTGTGATAGGGTCTGGAGCCCTTTCTAGCTGGTGGGAGACTGGACTGCCTCCCACCATGGCTTCCCAGACAGAATTGCACAAGCCCCACCCCACCCCCAAAGGCCCTGGTCCAGGTGCATGTCTAGGTGTGCATGTAT